TGAATAGTCAATTACTCACGGTATCCGCGACGAGACGCGTGGGACCGGGCATAAAACCAGGAATTTTCGGATAGCTCGAACCGTTAATGAAACGCTCATTTCGCGAACGACAAGCAGCCGGACAGCTGTCGGCGGTAATTATCTTATTGCAATTAACGCGGATCGCATAGCTCGGGGAAAAGAGCCGAGTCCCGGCGGCTCGGATTCTTGGCCAAGAGAATGGTGCCCCTGGAATCCGTGGCCGGCGACGCTTCCTTCTTATGGTCGCCATGGACTCGGGCTTCTCCCCCGTCTTTACCCTAATGGCAGCTTCTTCGAAAAAGTGCNGTAGAAAGTCTGATCCTTTTCGGCCAAAAACTGAGTTAAGTGAGATTTTACAGCGTCATCATCATTAAAAGTTTTACCACGAAGGGAGTTGTCCAGGGATCGAAATAAGTGGTAATCCGATGGCGCGAGATCAGGGCTCTATGGTGGGTGTAACATCAATTCCCAACCAATATCCATCAATTTTTGCCGAGTGGACAAAGACGTGTGCGGCCTAGCATTGTCCTGGTGGAAAATGACACCTTTACGATTGACCAATTCTGGTCGCTTTTCCTTGACCGTTGCATTCAATTTGTCCAGTTGCTAACATTCACGAATAATAAAAGATAATAATAATAATTTCATAATATAACATTTACAATACAACATTTTATAAAAATGGGAGTGAGAGACATCTATAACTGAAATCGGCAATTACTTAGTTGCCAACCCAATACATAGAATCCGCAGTCTAATTATTGAACAGCAGTTAATTCACTAATTACTAGATTATTCATTGCGAAGTTGGGTAAATGTAATTTGAAATAATAGAAAAATTAAAAGGATAGAAATAAATTCATAGCTATAGAACCAGGCGTGTGAAGGTCGTTTTTCGTGGATAGACAGTCAATTTTGCTTGAATAAAAAGTCTGATTAGAAATCTGGGTAGAATTTTTACATCCATTTCTTTTATATACATACATATTCTGTCTATTTCTTATCGCAGTACTTGTGCTACTGTTTCGTGGAGGGGTCACAATCGACCGGTGCTTCATAATAGGTACTTTCACCTTATTACATTAGAATTTCAAATACGTCTATTCGGCTTGTCGCGTGAATAGTCAATTACTCACGGTATCCGCGACGAGACGCGTGGGACCGGGCATAAAACCAGGAATTTTCGGATAGCTCGAACCGTTAATGAAACGCTCATTTCGCGAACGACAAGCAGCCGGACAGCTGTCGGCGGTAATTATCTTATTGCAATTAACGCGGATCGCATAGCTCGGGGAAAAGAGCCGAGTCCCGGCGGCTCGGATTCTTGGCCAAGAGAATGGTGCCCCTGGAATCCGTGGCCGGCGACGCTTCCTTCTTATGGTCGCCATGGACTCGGGCTTCTCCCCCGTCTTTACCCTAATGGCAGCTTCTTCGAAAAAGTGCGCCGACTTGGCCAATTAAGGTGCACTAGCTCGTGTATTTGTCGTCCGTCCCACGGGGCATGCACCTGCGTGCTGGACTTTGATTCTTGCACGGCTATTAATTATTATGCGCCACGCGTTCGCCGCTGTTCTCAGCAGCTTTAATTATCGGCCCTTTCATGATCTAGCATCCTACGGTCGCGTGAACAATTCCCGCGCTACCGCGGGACCGCTTCTCTCCCTTATTTCCCTGTCGACTGTCGCTGCGGAATCAGCCACGGTCCCGATTATGGTTCTCTTCAGCGTGTTTCCTGCGCGCCCAGAGATTGCTCGTAATTCTTGCCGCCGATAATAAGAATAAAACAGGATTCTTCAGCCATCGGCTTGCGATTAATTTCGCTAGAGTTATTTCGTGGTTAGCGCTCCTCCCCGGCAGGAAATTATTATGCGTTTATCGGAGTTTAATGCTTGACAAGTATGGGCACGATAATGTTTCGTACGATTATCAATTTGGATAAGATACTTCCTGGTGCCTTAACACATTGAATGCCACGCCGGTTTTACAGAAATTGTCCGCGGCGCCACGATGAATTTTCTTTTATGGATACATATAATATTGAAATATTATCTGCAATAGATAAGTTACAGTGTATAACCATGTTTGACATGTTAATTGCGACAGGCGTCACTGTTTGAATCGACGATGGTAATAATACAAAATTTTAGATATTTACATTTGTTTGAAATTATATATATTTCTATCAATTTAAATATATTATACTACTGTGATCAAAAAGTAAGGTGAAATTGTCATTTAAAACTCCCGGACATTAGGAAGGCAGGCAATTGTTTTTTTCCTAGGTTGGTAGGACTGTCTATAACAATTGCCAAGCGTCTGTTTGTTAAAAGGTTTAATTATCTCCGAGTTACACGTGTTTTAGTAAACGACCAAAAGTGAATTTTTCGATTTTTACAATGGGTGATTTTGTTGAGGAAAGAACTTGCATCAAATTTTGTTTGCGGAACGAATATTCTTGTGCGGACACGTTGAAAATGTTGCGGAAGGCCTTTGGTGATCAAACTATGGCACAAAAAAACGTTTATAAGTGGTACAACGAGTTCAAAGGGGGCCGAGAACGCGTTGAAGACGAACCGCGCTCTGGACGACCATCAACGTCTACCGACGAGGGCCACGTCCAAAAAATCGAAGATTTGGTGCTTGAAAATCGTCGATTGACAATAAGAGACCTCGCTGATAGTGTTGGAATATCATTTGGCTCAGTCCAAACCATTTTGAA